AACCTTTATACTAATCTTTGCAAATCGCTTGCACACTTCACGATGAATGCGGCTAAGGTTTACACTCAGGGAACATTACGGCATGTTTTCTATGTATGACATTCTCAATATAATTCATAATCCCACGTTTATAATGAACAACGCGTTATGGTTATTGTGTTACAAAATGAGTACGTATACATCAGTAAACACACAGCGTTCGTATCTCACTGTTACTCTACCCTGCCAGTACACAAAGATATCAAAGTGACATTACGTTAAACAACCATTCGGAAACGTCCTGTTCAAGCCTTAACTGTCGAACTTCTTCTCGACGCCATCTGGTTCCGGGTCCGACTCCGGTTCATGATACGGTTGCACAGATGTGTCTTCAGCATTGACTAAAAAAAAGATGGACGCCGCCCCTTGGCTCTCTTCCATTGGTCAGAACTGAAGCCGCAAGTGTACCGATATGGCGCAGACATCTTGGAAATTGAGTCTGCGCAGAAGCGATCTCGGGACCGGACCTGCGCAGGCATGAGCAGGAAGTAAAGCCACGAAATCAAGGCCCCGCCCTCACTCTCGCAGAATCAATCGCAAGCACACACTTTTTTAAACTGCACTTTCACTTCACTTTTTTTAAAAGTAATTATAGAAGTTTAGATATTAAATTTACGGCTTTAATCTCCTCAGTCCTCCGAACATCCCGAAAAAAAGTCTGTTGGTGCTTCAGTGACCTCTTCGCTCAGAGAACCTGTCAATCACAGCTGTCAATCATGATGTCACACCACCGCATTAAATAACTAACTAAAAACAAACACTTGAATTTACATCTGCGTGATAAGAACTACCATTCATGACAGAAATCATCTTTTAAAAAACGATATGTGATGTCTAATTTAATAGTTTATTTGGTCTCACATGCCGTTGAATAACACGGGGAGGCGGGGTTTATGATCTATGCTAGCAATCGAGGCGCTTTGGGTTCACTTTTCAGGGCTTGCGCGGCACACTTGGTCCTCACAGACTCCCGCTGCCATTCTTTCTGCAAAGGTAACACGTGCGCTGTCAAAGCGCCTGCAGAACAGAGGGGCGGAGTCAGCGAAGCTCATTATCATTTAAAGGCATATGCACTGAAACGGCGTGCTGAAAACAGAGTTGTTTTTGACCAGGTAAAATGAGTGTTTTCTTACAATACTAATGAGAATTCTTAATAAAAGTACATCACAAACTTTTCATTTAGACCCCAAAGAATCAATTGAACTTGCATGAAAATGGCATTATATGACCTCTTTAAATTAAATTTCAATTAAATGTGAAAGGAGAAAGATGAAAAAGGTATTTTCTTGTAAAAAATCAAGGCATCTAGATTTTGTTCACCTGCAGTGTTTTCCTCTTGTCCGATGGGTTTTTATTTATTTATTTATTTATTTTAGTCACTAAAGCAAGTTGACTTAACAACTTCTCAGTAAGGGTTTCTGCTCTCCACCACTAATAGAAACGCTTGCTTTAAAAAAACAGCATTAACTTGTGGAGTCATTAGTTTACTCATAATAACTACAGTCTCCTGTCCCTAACTTCCCCTTGCAAATACATCTGTAACATTTGCAGACAGAAAGATGATTTATTAGGCTTTTATGTAGAGTCTGTGTTCTTTTGAATTGCGATGTAAGGCTCGAACACACAGATGTCATGAAGTGCGAGTGAGTGGTTGTGTGTGTGTGTGTGTGGTGTGTAAGCTGTGGTGAAACTGCACTCCCTCTAGTGGTGTCTAGAGGAATCGGCCTCATTCACACAGTCAGATGTCATTCTTTATGATATTTAAAACAGGATTTATGAATAAAGTACATCTCTCATATCTCTGAACAGCTCTGCTCGCATGCTTGCCCGTCTCTCTTGTTCTCAGTACATGAAAAAACAATAGCTTTAACTGTTTTTAGAGAGCCTTTTTAAATTTTAATAAAGAAGCTGCAAATTCACCTCAATATCTTAAACTAGATAATGGCCTACAGAGGTCAAAACAGCCGTTTTTAAACTACGGGTCGTGACATTTAACCCCGTGATTATCACAGACCGCAGTGTAAGCTCAGTCCAGACGCTCTGCGTTCTTCTGATTTATTCATCAGTGAAATCCACCCGATCAACAGCACTAACTAGTGCTCTAGTCTAGTGCACACTCCTGCCTCTCGTCGCACACTGGTCAGGGCTGATAGAAACTTAGGGGTCAAGCAGTTTTAATATGATACAAAAGTCATTGAAACATTTCTATACTTCTCGTAGAATATCCATGAATTGATTTTTTATTTATTTTATTTTTTATAAATATCTGGGGAACATTCTGTGTTTGCTAGATTATGATATCTGTAGGTGCTGTAGGTGCTGTCTGTCCGTATGCTAATATAATTGTTTACAATAAATGAGTCATGGCCCAGCAACCCAAATAAAGGGTTTGAACAAAATCCATAATTTCCCTCCAACTTTACACATTAGTCTCCGTTCAGTGAATCACATAAGGAAATTTAAAAAGCAAAAGTTAGCCAGGATTACAAAAATTGTAAGAGAAAACAAAAGTGCAGTATTATTTCAAATTTACATAAGTACAACCATTAATTATGAAACAGTTTCAACACTTCAAATTGGTCATGAAACGAAAGTTGCGTTATTTTCTTCCTGTGGAGTGAAACGCGTCTCGAACAAGAACAAATATGGGCGGGGCTTGATTGTGTCTTGGATAGTTGTGATTTGCTATTGGCTGATCTCATGTGAGTGACAGGTTATAGCCCCGCCCTCGTCATCAGAGAAGAGATGCAGCAAAAGGAAGTTAAATCTGATTAAAGGTTAAATAATTTATAATAAATACTGCAATATTTCAATAAAATGGTTATTTCATATTTTGAGAGAGTTGATCAGATTTCGATCGCGCGAGACGATAGCCTCGAAGATTACCACATAAATATTGTGTCTGTTTAAAGTTGTAATGTTTTGCAGGAGTCGCGGGTTCAGTCAGTGGGAGGAGCTCGTCATATATGAGCGTCGCGTGCGTCGCGTGGCTCCCGGTATACGCGCGCGCTCAGTCGGAGATGGACACGCGCCTGAGGATGAGCTCCGTGTGTGTGTGTGTGCAGGTACACTCAATATCTCCCGTCTTCTCCTCTTTTCTGGAACATTTACACCCTCAAATATCTTCTCTTGCTGCTCTCTCTTCTTCTATCCGTTTAACGGGAACTTACCATTCACACACTCGGCTGTGTTTCACTCTCTTTTATTAAAGCTGGATCATTTTGCTTTGGCTTAATCAGTCAAGTGTTACTGTATTGCGTTGTTTCGTTTGTTTAATCATGTTTATAACACAACTGTGCAAATAATTCACGTCAGTTGATCGCGTGAAGCTCATATATATCATATATCAACACATTAACGTTACACTCGTTAATGTGTTGATATATGAGCTTTTTCTTTTCGAGTGTCGTTTTTCTCTCTTTCCTAAGTTTTTGTGCGAGCGTTTTACTTTGCAAAACTGTCTTTAAAAGTGAGATTAAACTGAGAAAACGTCATTTAGACACATTTGGAAATACAATAAAGTTAAATTCTAAAAAAAATGCGAGTTATTTTGCGAACATTAATTATCGTTATAGCCTAAATAAATTAATACAAGTCTAGATAGCTAGATAAACGTGTGCAATAAGATCGAATCAAACATATTTAATTAAAAAAAATGTGAATAAAGAGTAGCTTGTTTAATAACAATGCAGTAAAGAGCTGCATTTCTCTTTTTATTATGTTGAATTTGAGCTTTAACCTAATCTGAGAATGGGAATAATAACTGTAATTAATGCTTGGGATCTATAAATAAAGTCACTGATGATAAATTAAACACAACATTCATTGCAATGCTCTAAATACAAATCAGCTTTCACCTGGACATCATCAAACGCTTTCTCTCCAATATAGCCATAGAATTAGATTAAAATGATTTTTTTTCACGAGCACAGGCGTATGAGGTGTGTGTAGAGCTAAATTAAATCTCCAGATATCTCGTCATTTAACACAAGCGCAGTATCAGCGTTTGATATCAAATCCTCTGTAACATAAGACCAGACCTTAATAAGCATTCCTGAGGGATTCCACGCAAATCATATGGATTAGGTTCGTGGATGAATGACCTTTAATTCCATGTTTCTCAATTAAATTACTGTATGTTCTTGAATCCCAGAGATATCAATCATCTGCTCCATATCAATGATACAGTTCAAAAAAAGCACAGATTCACTCACAAGTATGTGAGTTTGATGCCGTATTTGTACTTTAATATTAAAGTGATCGTCAAAGAAATTAAATAATTCCAAGCCCGTCTAGTCTTCAGATGTGAGGTTGTTTTACACTGATTTTTTCCGTGTTTGGTGATGAGTTTTCTCGCAGTGAGTGAATGATGATCAATAGGGAGTGTCTGATGTTTTCTATTGATTATGGAGACGTGAGCAGGGCGGTGTTCCCGAGCTCCCGTGCCGTCAGACGTCCAGCCGTAGAAATGCACAAATCAGCTCACTTAACATCTGAATGATGGACATGATTTATTTAGTCCTGCATGCCTGTTACCCAGCATGCTTCAGTGTGTTTCAGCTGTTCAAACCGGCCACTTGTCATGCGTGTGGTTTTGTTACGGCTCTCCTCGTTGCACGCTTATAAAACGAGTGTGACTGTGAAACGACTTCTGCATTCTTCAGGCTTGATCAACACTGTGTGTGTGTGTGTGTCCACATTTGCTCTCAGATACATTAACAAACCATGGAGAATTTCCTAAAACTTAGAGAATAATCTGTCTGAATTGTAAAATGCATCTCCTGTTTTTAAAATTTTAAACCCAACACACTAATATTTGTAATTTAATTTCAGTTAACATAATTGCATACATAATTGCATTACATACAACATACTGAATAGTTAATTAACATGCTTTTGCATCACATTTGGAACACAATACGTGAATGAGCACAAATATGAATATTGTTATGTGTCAAATAAACAAAACAAGGTTCCACTTTATTCTACGGTGTCCTTACTGTATAATACATGCAACTATCCCTCAACCAAACCCCGATCCTAAAACTATAGCAAGTGCATGCATTTAATTATTAGCACACACTTACATGCATATCAAAAACACCTTATACTGTGATTATACATTTTAAGTACTGATTAATATTGTATATGTATAATTAGGCATAGTTTATAGTCACTAATCTAGTAAATACACTGTAAAATAAAGTGTAACCCAAAAAATAATAAAATATGATAATCGAGGATTTCCTCCATACATTAAAATAATACGTTTTGCGCTGTATTTAGTATTTGCTTGAGTCTGTTTAGTGTGTGTGTGTGTGTGTGATCATCAGTGGGAGTGTTTATTTATCAATGCATATAGTATTAGTCTCCTTGTAAATCATTTCTTTTAAGTGCACTTAAATAAATAGTTATGCATGTATTTAATTATTATTACACAGTACTTAAATGCATAATTACATAATTAAAATAAACCCCAAAATATCAAGCTTTTCCTCGTCACATAGGAAATATTCATTTGTTTTTGTGCGGTTATGTGGTATTTGTGTGTGTGTGTGATCATCTGTGGGAGTATTTCAGCACACAGCCCCTCCCCCTGCTCACTCCCCCAGTGGCCCCGCCCCCTCTGCATGTTAAGCCCCGCCCCCTGAGGCATCAGCCAACAGCAGCTGTTCCATATTCATCAAGCTCTTCAGTCTTAAAGAGACCGACACTGAGCGTGCACACACTCATTCTGCCTCACACACACTCACCGTAGCGCACGCTCTGTCGCTCTCTCTCTCTCTCTCTCCGCTTCACCCTGATCTGATCAGACCCCCTCCCATCACTCACACACACACACACACACACATGCGTACCTGAGTCGGTGGGCTGCGCTGCCGGAGGGTCTCTCCGCCTCAACTTTCCTGCCGGTGTGTGTGTACGGGGAGAGCGAGTGTCCGGTGTCTCCGCTTCTCTTCTTCTCTTCCTCCTGGAATGATAACACTGGGCTGATGGACATTTCCGAACTTTGCATCCCTGATCCTCTCAGCTATCATAACCAGTAGGTGCATCTTCTCTCTCTCATGCACTAACTCCACAAACTCTGCTCTTCCTCAACTCTGCTTGCTGTGTGTGTGTGTGTGTGTGTGTGTGTGTCATAGGCATGTTTCAGGTCCAGACACTTTCCTGGTTTTGCTTAGATGGCTTGTGTCTTGCAGTGGGACGCCGCGGTCTCTGTGTGTGTGTGTGTGTGTGAACGCTAGTCTCACGGGCTCCGGCCTCGGGCGGACACACAGATGTGTGTTTACTAAATGAAGTGAGTGAGGGTGTTTTTGAGTGTCCCCCCGGTCTGGAATAATGCACTCGCTTTATATACACACTTATATATGTTTTCTCATAAATTGTCACATCTTAAATTGGCGCTTTATGAAACATAGCATTTACACTGTGTTTCTGAGAGCGTGTTCGCTTGTGTGTGTGGGTCGCCATAAAAGATCCACATTGAGCGTAATGTGCAGTAACTCCACACATGGATTTTTCGGATATGGATTTGATGGTTTACTCTTCAGTAACATGTCACATCAGCAGATCTCTCACACAAAGAAATGGGTCCAAGTCAAACTGTGTGTGTGTTTGGGGTAAAATAGGCTAGATTACACTCAAGTCAAGTCTCTTAAACACACATATTTTAATCTGCTTTGTAGTTTTACACTAAGGCGGATTACAGAGGTTGAGTAGAGCGCAGATTCCTCCACGCATGCATTTCTGCTCGCGTTATATTTCAAATATGCATATTTTTATTTAGGGTAAAACAAAGTATTCTTAATCAAAAATAGTCTGATAGTGACACTAAATCTCTATTTAAAAAAATAATTAAAAAAAAATAATTATTATTAAGAGTTAATAATAAATGCTTTGATTTTTTTAAATCACACTGTTATCACGGTATCTGTTCATAATTGTTATAATATAATACAATCAAATTAATACAGTGATTCTATTACATCATTATTTTTGCATTGAAAAACAATAAATAACCCTTTTTTTATTAGACATTAAGACGATGTTGTGATATTAATGCATTTGTTAATAGAGGAACCTGTTTTAGGGATTGGACTGTGCATACATCTATTAATATTTAATAATGAAAAGAATAAAAAAAATCTGCTTTATTTAGTTTATTCATATGTTTATGGATTGGACTGTGCATCTATAGATCTTTTTAATAATGAAAAAAAATCAGCTTTATTTAGTTTATTCAAGTGTTTTATGGATTGGACTGTGCATCTATACATGTTTTTAATAATGAAAAAAAATCAGCTTTATTTAGTTTATTCATATGTTTATGGATTGGACTGTTCATCTATAAATCTTTTTAATAATGAAAAAAAAAAATCAGCTTTATTTAGTTTATTCAAATGTTTTATGGATTGGACTGTGCATCTATAGATCTTTTTAATAATGAAAAAAAAAATCAGCTTTATTTAGTTTATTCACATGTTTTATGGATTGGACTGTGCATCTATAGATCTTTTTAATAATGAAAAAAAAATCAGCTTTATTTAGTTTATTCAAGTGTTTTATGGATTGGACTGTGCATCTATTTGTTTTTAATTGGGAAAAACAATCAGTTTTGTTTAGTTTTAGCCGGTCTAAGATATTTTCCCACACGTTGGAATTGAAGCGGAGTGCGTTGTAGAGTTTCGTCAGTGTTTAGGGTGTGTGCCGCCGGGGCTGATGGGATTGATCACGCCCGGCCTCGGACTCTCCTCGCAGGGATGACAGGACCCCGTGTGTATGCATGAGCACCGCGGGACAAATTGAATTGAACAATTGTTTGACTTCATTACCGAGTTGGCGGATCGAGCACAGAGAGCGCGTATCTCTCTCTCGCGTTTCCTTCCCTCCGTTCTGATCTCATTAGCTCCAGAAAAGAGCAGCTCGGGGAATTGCATTAGTGCATCTTAAGTTAAAAGCGGGCGCTCTTTGAGCAAGTGTTTCAGTGCTGTTGGGTTAATCAGATTTTTGCTGTCTGTGAGGAGATGCTATCGCGAGTAACCAAAGCGGCCGGCTCTCACACTATCCAGATGGGATCAGCTTACAGTAATTTGGTTTCAGAAAACATTACTCACACAGATCCATGGCTGTGGTCAGCCCACATATTCATGAGCTCGAGAGGGTTTCGATTCTCTGACCAGTCCGGCTGACCTCTGGCCAAACCGGCGGCTCGCTCTCAGAAGCAGGCTTTTATTAAGGCACGCACGCCGTATGAGGCTCTGCTTGTGATCCGAGCGCGTTTAACCCTGAGTCGCACTCTCTCACTCTCTCTAAACGGCCTGTGTGTGTTGGCTTAGTCAGGCTCGCTTCTTTATAATAGCTTCTTTAGTTGCTGGGTTGTTTGTCAAATATGGACAAACCGGTTTTCAATTTTAAATCAATGGTTGTGTTTGTCCATATTTGACCCAAACATTTAACTTTTTTTTAGGGTGAAAGAAGAACATTAAACATCAGTGGAATTCTTCATAGTGGGAAAAGGTTCTTTATATTATTCAAATGTTCCAGATTTTCTTTTTCTTTTAAGGATTGTTCACTGAATGGGAATGATGACATCACTGCATTTAAAAAAAAAAAAGATTTGGAACCTTTTTTTAAAAGAGTGTGAAAATTAAATGTTCCGAAAAGGAAGATTTCTAGAACATTTGAATAATCGAAATGGTGTTTTTGGAATGGAAAGATTCCATGGATGTTAAAGATTCTGCACTGAACCATCGATGCCAATGACACACCTTTGAGTTTAGGAGTGTGTGATGAAGCTGTCCAACAAGAACTGCACAAATCTGACAAATTCCCCTAATTCCAAAATCATGTTTATTGAGGCAGAATGACTGTGTGTGTGTGTGTGTGTGTGTGTTCTCAGTGTGTTTTGGTGGTTGGGTCACTTCCAGTGCTCACACACACACACAATGCATCAGTGACCCATCCACCCCGACGTCGCCCGACACGCTTTCTCTCTCTCTCTCTCACACACACACATACCCTGCGTCAGTGACCTGTCCGCCCCGACGTTGGTCAACACACACACACACCCTGCGTCAGTGACCCGTCCGCCCCGACGTTGGTCAACACACACACACACCCTGCGTCAGTGACCCCACCGTCGCCCAGTTCTCACTGCGTAACCTTGGCATCCTCGCTCGCCATGACAGCAGTTTAAAAATAAACCAGCTCTGTTAGTGCTGAGGATAATACATCCACCAATGCATGCTGTGTGGGGGGTCATACACACACACACACACACACACACACACACTCGCACACAAGAACAACGATTCAGAATCTGCCATCTTTGTGGGGACGTAAGCAATACCTGATACACTAACACACACACACACACCGTCCCCTTATTGACCCCTGTTTAGTACCTCAGCTTCAGTATGAGATTCCTCACACATTAACGAGTTGCAAAAACTGATAAAAACACTTTTATTCACGTGAAAATATGTTTTTTGAAGCCGGTTGTATTAAAGCGAACGACAGCAAAAACATGTGAACTACAAGTGCGTCTGCGGTCGCATGCGGTGTTATTTTAATATCACGGCGATACTTTCTTACTTTTCATTAGACAGTTTATTTTGAATTAGTTTTTATTTTGTATTTGCCTTTTTAACCCTTGTGCTGCATTAGATTTTTAACACCGTTGAGTGCATTAATGACCAAAAATGGCCACATATTAAACATTGCCTAAAATATTATATATTATTATTATTTTCCACTTTTACCAAGTTAAATCTTTTAACCAGCATCAGTCCTCATCATAACTACCAAAAATGTATTCAATTTCAGGATTTTAACCCTTTAATTACCAGTTTTGTTTGCGAAACCATCGATTTGTATAAGAGGAAAAAACACAAAAATTCAATTATTTTCAATAAACTAAATGCAAAGAGAAAACTTTAGATTTGGATTATCACAGTCCCACTTTGCAAAAAAATCCCACTTAGCGCGTTAGAGACCAAAAATGGCCACCTATTAAACATTGCCTATTGCCTAAAATAAGGTGCATTTCCACCCATAGGGAATAAATATGTAGTGACGTCATCTGGTGGAATACACTATATAATGCAAATATAATGCTTTTGCTTCAAAATGAAAGGATGTTTGTGCAAAAATCATGTTTCATGTATTACTGACAGGGTTTCAATGGGCCATTTTTGGTCTTTATGGTGCTGAGTGTTACTATTTGATCTACACAGTGTGTGTTATACATATTTTGCAAAATGGGATCACATTTTTTACATGTATCCAAAAAGTCACAATTTTGCCAAATTTCATACCATTTGCATTAAAACAGCCAAAATGGTCAAAGAAATTAAACTGCAAAAGACCAAAAATGTCCCTAATGCAGCATAAGGGTTAATTTTAGTTATAGTCATTTTGATGTGAGATTTGTCATTTCTATTTTAAATGTCTCTGCAAGTTCTTTATAAAATTTATTTCAGTTTTAGTTTTATTTGTTTAAGAAATTAGAAAATTAGAAATTTTGCCTTGGCATGTAATTTGGTAACTCCTTTTTTTTAATTCAGTAAATGTTGTTTTTAATTGGCGTTTTTGTAGTTATACACGGAGTGCAGACATGTGTCACACACCGTCCACCGTAGTGCTCGCTCTCCATCGGCATCAGTCAACGTCCCAGCGGCGCGCTAATCACATGCTGTGCGGGACAATGCTAACCCCGCTAATCTGCACTTGTGTGAGAGTGTGTGAGAGAAGCGTGAGGCCGGACACAGGTTGACGCGCGGGCGTTTATCAGGGAATGCTGCTGTATTGAGCGGTCAGTCGTTTGAAGGTTATGTTTCTGAGCTGTAATTGAAATGCAAAATAACATTAGGATCGATGGTCAGCTCTGTTTATTTATCAAATCAATATTGAAACGGCTCCGACAGTCCAACTGAGTCACGCTGACGCCGGGGGGTTTAGCAGGAAATGATGTCATCACACCTGACGCCGGGGGGTTTAGGAGGAAATGATGTCGCCACAGGTGTGTGATGTTCCTGTCGAGCT